TCTGGGGGAAAGATTACTCTTACCTTCAGGTGCCTTCAGAGTAGGCTTGGAGGGAGTATATCTATATGGACAGATGTAGTTGCCATGACTTCTTTGACATGCTGAACTCAGGTAGTATTGAATGAAGGACAGCACAAAATCAGTGTTGCTTGGATTGGATCTGACTCATACTTCACCATCTTGGGAGTGCAAGCAGAACAAATCTGTGTATGTCTGTCCATGCAGATACACTGTATGGGAACCATTACTTTCCAGCTCTGGGCCAGGCACAAGGCTGCTATATTCACTTTCCTTGCTACTATTTTCCTCCTCAGCTCCAGCATCCTGTACTGTTTAGCTGTTGCTATAAAGCTCCTCTTCCACTTCCCATGACTGCTGCAGCCCCTGTCACACTGGGGAGTGGTAAATTTGAGACACATGAATGGTGGGCATTGCCCCGCCATGGTGACAGTGTTCCAGAAGAGGCTGGTGTACTGTCACTGTCAACAAAAGATGGTAAGGCTTTGTGCAGCAAGCATATTTTTCACCAGGAAATCCCATCAGCAAGTCTAAAAATCCCCAATAAATCACCATTTTCTGCTTTTTATTTTTGCTTGGATGCTCTTTGTACTTAGAACGCTTTCCTACGTAAGAGCTTGGAGATCTAAAGTGCCTTTTAGGGTGTGCAAGAGATCTTCAGGGAATCCAGCCCACCTCTCTGTGATTCTGCCAGTAAAACAGGGCAGTGATCCTTGCACTGTCTCCTCCCTCCAAAACACAGCTCTACATGCTGTAATTTAAAACTCTTTCTGGAACCTAAACCGACTTGTACTGTATTTGTGCACACACATCCTGCACCGACTTAGGTCTGTGATCAAGATAAAAATGAAATATTTCTATTACAGAAATATGCAAAGTTCAGCCTTTTTCTTTCACACTCTCTGAAATGAGAATAGTTGAGTTCCACTGCACCCATGAACACCTCTAATCTGCATGTGGAGCTTGATACAGATGCATTACAGAGAATGCTAACGAGGTTTGAACAAATGCTAATGAACACTACAGAAAGGCAATTTCAGACTTGAAGTAAAACATTTGTTTCTGACAAGGAACGTTTGAAACCACCAGGCATGTAGTCAGGTTTTTGTCTTCTGCTAAGCAGAAATTTTAAGTTTTCCAGTTACTTCCTACCTATAATTACATCTCCCTGGCTACAGCAAAAAAGGATTTTATAGCACAGATTGCTGTTAGGAATGGAGTCAGAGTTACAGAGTGGGAACTCTCCTATTCAGAGACTAGACTCAAGCCATTCATGTCTATGCAACAAGTAGCAATTAGGACCCACAAAAACAATTATAGACCCAGATCTGCTGGGATGAAGCACAGGGCCGTGTGACTTGCATACAGAGCAAACCACGCCAGTTTAACCCTTGCATGCTCCATTAACACAAAGCCAGACAGTATAAAAGAGTTAAACCTCAGAAATTTGTTAAAAAGTACACACAAAGTGCTGCACAAATGTGAGTTGTCGCTTGATGCACAATTCTCCTTTTATGTAACAATATACTTCTGTGATATTTGAGATTAGTTAGGATTTTTTTGCCTGCCTCTGGATTTGAACCCTGAAAGATTGGGATGCTCACTGACCAGGGGCTTCTGCTAGCAGTTTGCTCCAGTCTGTGGAATCTTAGCCCCCAGGTCTGATGCCCTTCAGAGAACCTGAATGTAGCTGTCAATAACTTCTCTTTCAGCTTAGAAAAAGCACGTAAATATTTTGTTTAACAACAAGAAGACTGAAGTGTGTTTTTCTCTACAGTAAACACTACCATGGATCTAAGCCTATGACCATGCTCAAATCCACAGTGCTAGGACCATCCCAAATGCCACGCATATGCTGCAGCCACTCAACTGAAAACACTGATGAGTGAGCATTAAGTATTCATCATTTGATTTACATGTAGCCAAACAGAGCAAGCCAATGATGTTTTTACCGTGAGTCCTGTGGGAATGGGAGAAGCTGCTGTGAGCCTGGTGCCCTGCTGCCAGCCCCTCCTGCGCTGCCCTCGCTGCGGCACACACTGTCCCAGGTGCCCCAGATCCACACCCAGAAAATACCATTCCCACCTCCGTGCTCTCCCGAAGGCTCCCAAGACTGGAGCCTCCCTCATAGGGAGGCCAGTCCTAATCGGCAGCCCTACTCCCAGCCTCCATGTGCCGGACGGCTGCCTGGAGCTGCGGCCAGGGTCTTCTCTGCTGGCTGGAGGGCAAAGCAGTCTGCAGTAAGGCATGAGCCTTCCCTTACCCATGACGTGTACTCTTTCATTTGGTGCTGGTTGCTGTGGGAACCGCTGGCATGGCCCCTCCAGAAGCAGTCCTGACAGAGCTGGTAATTGTGACACTGCTGGCAGCGGTAGCGAAACCCCATCATGCTCTCGCTGTGGCAGTAGGAACACTCGACGGGATGGAAGACTGCACAGGAGAAAGAGGCACTGAGCCATAAACCAAAGCAGAGAAACCCCCTGCAAAATTTTACAGACAAAGCCGTGAACTGAAGGGTGAATCCCTTCTTTGTTTCCAGATGCTGCCCACAGCTTTGATGTGTGAAAACTCGAGTAGCTGCCCAGCAACCTGTGCTAAGCCCCAGGCAACACTTCCTTCACTGGGCACCAAACCCTTCATCACTTCTGAGCTGATGCCTGCACCCCCTGCTCACAGTTGTGACAGGTATGTTCAGTGTTGAACAGATTACACGATAGAGGAAATTCGCATGTGGGAAAATCCACTGTGCCCTTCAGCTGCATTACTAGGGGAAGCTGAGTGTTTTGCTGTGCTGTGAGGAGCTAAAGCGATGCGCCTTGGAGAAGTCAAACTCAGCTGTCTAATTACGGGAAGCACAGAAGTGTACTTAGGCATCCCGCTGTCTCTTAATTACTGCTGTCTCATCTGTACAACTGGCAGCATTTAGCTACCTATATACGGAGCTGAACACTTAGCTTCGGAAGCCCATATTGGGAAAGCTGGCCATTGAAAGGGCCCATGTGGTCCTGTTCTCTGTTCTATTCAGAAGCAGAGAGTAACAAAGATGCAAGTCACTGAGTACACTAAGGCATCAATCAAGACATTCTGAAGATCCTTCCTGGCAATTTCAGTTCCTCTCTCCTTACAGCATGTACCCAATTTACCACGGGGTACTGAACATTTCCTTGTTCCCAGGCACCTTCTGCTCTCCTGTCATAAGGTTCAGTCTGGAGGATTTGGATCAGTGCTGAATGTGTCGGGGTTTTAATTCCTTGCCAGAATTTTGCAGCAGGAAGGGTTAGTGCTCTAGCCTGGGAAACTGGGTGAAGCTGGTGAGGGACAGGGATGTGATTACAAGAGCTGGAGGAAGGTGGGGTACATAGCTGGCTTTGTGGCCAGGTAGAACTTAGGAACATCATATTATCCATGTTGGTGATGAGGGATTTATTTAGTACAAGAAGACGTATGACTTCCTCCTTGTATCACCAAAAAATGGCTTCACACCTCCCCTTCCACCAGCCCCATTTTCTCTTTGAAAATATGGTATAAATACTTCTATTGCCTAACAGGATGAGTATTTATGTCTTTTCTTCTTCCTGCTCCCCTCCCCACTTTTTCCCTGCAGCATCCCAGAGCTTCACTTATGCTAGAGGTAAACCTTCGGGGGAGCCACAACACAGGAACAGAAGACCCTTACATAACACCCTCTGAGGCAAAATACTGGGCTGGGAAATTGCTTACAAAAAATCTATTTATCTTACTCAATTAATAGTTTAATTTTTTTGTACAGACTTCCTGCATTTTTAAATCTTCCTTTTCTGAGATTTAAAGTGTTAGGATAATGACATTACATCCTGATGATCATGAGCAAGAAATGCCACATTAGGAACAAGTATATCGGGATAAATGAAGCAATAAAACGGCATTTCTTGTCTCATGGTAGGTTTTTTTTTTTCTATTTAATATTGTCAGTGCCGATCTTTCTGGACAGCAAAAGACAGCTGCATCTGAACTGGGGAACTTCTCCAGAACTACATGAGAAACAGCACATTTTTTGAGCTGCAATTTGGTGGTGCACACAGTGAGGCGAGATGAGATGCACAAGCTTTCTAGCTCTGCCTCTGCACTTTCAGTGTGGCAGCACCTTCTACAAAAGCACTGTATGAGGGGTTTGGCTGGAGGACTACATCTATGAGTCTGCAAACTTTTACTCAGGTGCTCAGAGCTGGAAGGCTGAGAAAGATATTATTGCCCAGGGACATGTCTTCTAATCTGTGGTCTGCTCCTTTTGGGGTAAGACAACCCTTGAGGAGCAAGAGGCATCTCCAAGTTAAAACCTCATCTTCCACACAAGCAAAGGATAAGGACAAATCCAGAATTTCCTTTTAAGAATATATTGTCTGACTGTGAAGACTTTGGAGGAGATCCCTCATAAGGACCTTCTGGCTGGTATTTTGCACTGCACTGGACATCTGCTGCCAAGAATACTGCATGAACAGAAATTGCCAAGCTGTTCCTTCTCTGCTGCCATATGTCATAGCTAATAAAAGTTGTGGCCTTGACAGTTTATTGAATGTAAGTATGTGAATGGACCAGGTCCTATTACTCTTTGCTTATCCAGAGCACAGGAGGAGAGGACATGGTCAGGATAATTTCCTGAAATGAAACCAAATTTCTGGCTGAATGACCAACAGGATTCTTAAAATACTTCACTAGTGACTGTAAGAAGAGCACATGGAGTCAATGAACTCAGCACAGTAGCTCCTGCAAAACCATCTACAGAGTGAGAAAAATATCACACAGAAGTTTATTCTTGTAACTGTTTTTTGGCAGCAGCTCTTACTTACCATTTTCAACATTTGCCAGTCGATGCAGAAGTGGTAACCACACTAGACACTGTGGTGGGGGATCAGACATGAGAGTATCCAAGAAAGTGTTTAATGTGACTTTTTTCTGTTCAAACAAGCAAATAAACATAAAAAAAATCAATAATTAGACATATCAAAATGATTTTATCTTGTCCTTACAGAAACATTTGGAAAGGAGTTTCAGACAGAGTGGGCTTCTAGCCCTGGCTTACTAAAAAGAACAAGAGGTACCAGCAAATCTTTCTTGGACTATTTTTAGTAGTTAAAATGTATATTGCTGATGAATGGGTTAGATACACCTAGCTCCCACTCACTTCAAGACTGTGTTCTAAAATCAATGCCTGAAGATGCTTTTTGAATAAGGTTGGCATTCAGCTCCTCATGTTTTCATGTGTTTTCAGTTACCACATAATGTGTACAAGCGCATGTAGAGTAACACTATATACTACCAATTTTCATATGAAAAGTCACCGAGGAGAATGACTGATGGTTCTCCAACAAAGAAAATGAAAGAAAATAATGACAAGGGTGTACAATTTCAAACCAAATATAGGGTAAGGACAGATCATCACTGGCAACTGTGTTACTGTAATTTAAGAAACTATGCTTGTCTGTTGAGTGATGGCAACTATAATATATAACTAAACTATAGTAGTTACAGTATAAACTATAACTAAATACGTGAGGTCTGATCGCGGCATGTTGTATTTGCATACATGGAGGGACTGCAACTGTTCCTTAACACTCCACACCTGTAAGCACTCCAAGATCCCTTTTACCTTTCAAAGAGATTTAAACTCTAAAATATCCCTGTTGATTTTAAAAATGTAATCTATGGCCTTAAGTTTCTGAGGTGTCTGGAAAAAGTCATCACAAATCTTAGTTCATTTGGGTTTTTTCAGAGCTATAGGCCTGAGATACCTCAACCGTAAATACCTGCTCTTTCCTATGAAGTATATGGATTACCTAAGTGTTTACTAAAGTACAGACCTACTGCGTTGTCAAGGACAGAGAGTCCTTAAGAAATCAGCAACTGAGCGTTCCTTTAAAATAAAATTAAGATGCAAAAATATTGAGCCCTGTTGAGAATGTGTGACGATGTAATTTATAAACATGCATATTTAAGTAGCATCCCCATATCCAAAGGGATTGCTAAATTTCCATATCCTACTGCATAAGCTACTGCTTTAACTTGCTAGAGAACTGTGGCTACCCCATGAGGAAGCAAAACAGCAGCTATGCAGTGGCATGTATCATCTCAGTATGTTTCAGAATGCTTCTAAGAGCTGAGATTTCCAGATGGAGTGTCTGTGCTGTATTTATATACAATTGCCACCAGATGTAAAGAAAATCAGTATTTCTCTTACACACTGAGTGATCAATGCAAAACACCTCAATTTTTAACAGTCTTAGGGCAGAAATATTGCAAAATACTGGGAAATATATAAAGATATTTGTCCCAGGAGAAGAGAAAATATTCAGGCTAGTTGTGAAAATGGTCTTGACTCTTTAATGAACAGAAATAGCCAGAATATGAGCTCTGAATCTCACTGAAATACTCTCTTTTCCCACAATACCTGCAGTATGAAAGTCCAATCAGACAGCTACCACCTGCTTGTTGTATGAATGATCATCCCACCCATGGGGAGTGGATAATCGCTTCCCAAAGAGGCATCCTACGCTGTAAGCTTCAGCCCACAGGAAAGAATACCTGGAGTATTGTGTGCAGTTCTGGTGTCCTCAACATAAAAAGGACATGGAACTGTTGGAACAAGTCCAGGGGAGGGCCACGAGGATGATCAGGGGACTGGAGCACCTCCTGTATGAAGATAGGCTGAGGAAGTTGGGGCTGTTCAGCCTGGAGAAGAGAAGGCTGCATGGAGACCTCATAGCAGCCTTCCAGGATCTGAAGGGGGCCTATAGGGATGCTGGGGAGGGACTCTTCATTAGGGACTGTAGTGATAGGACAAGGGGTAACGGGTTAAAACTTAAACAGGGGAAGTTTAGATTTGATATAAGGAAGAAATTCTTTCCTGTTAGGGTGGTGAGGCACTGGAATAGGTTGCCCAGGGAGGTTGTGAATGCTCCATCTCTGGTGGTGTTCAAGACCAGGTTGGACGAGGCCTTGGGTGATATGGTTTAGTGTGAAGTGTCCCTGCCCATGGCAGGGGGGTTGGAACTTGATGATCTTAAGGTCCTTTTCAACCCTAACTATTCTATGATTCTATGATTCTATGATCTTTGTTTTGGAGACTGTCTATGAAATTTGTCCTGGCTTTGCTGACCAATGCCCCCAGCAAACGTCTGTGCTGTCTGCATCAGAAATGAGAATGGGAGGAGAAAAAGCAGAATGAAGTGTAGGAAAAGAAGGGTCCTCTGGTGACTCGTATGCAGAGCTGAGTATCCCTAAGTCTTCCCTCTGTGCTTGAAGGTGGATAAGTTGGCAGCAAACACACAACCGGTCTAAACATACAAAAATAGAGGGGAGACAAGAACAGCTCTTCCACAGTGCAGTAGGCTTTTGAGCGCTGCTATAATTTAAATCCTGATCTGCACCAAGTAAAGCAACTTAGCTTCACTGACAGCTTTATGGGTGAATCCTTCTGGTGGTCACTGATTTTATGTATTAGAGAGAACCATACCCCTAAAAGGACACCAGCAGAGAAATTTCCATACATTTTACATGGCATATTTTCCTCCTGCAGTTTTTTTTCAGCTGCTGGGAAAGTTGAAACTGAAAGCTGTTTCTAAATATACGCTACATGCAGATGGAGTCTACGTTTGTGGAATAACACTTAGCCAAGTGCTAAGAAAATGAAGTTAGTGTCTATCTTTTCAGTTTGGGATAAAAAAAGAGAAGTAATAATTTTTTTTTTTTACAATAATAACATCAGATATTAACACAAATACCGCATAACATCACATTAATCCTACCTATGGCGAAAGTGGTGGCAATGAAACTCCTTTCTGAGCCACAGATTTGTATTCTGAAACATTAATTCACTTGCTCTGGCAACTCTGTTCCATAAATTTGCTGATAAGGAAGCACTGTTGTTTCCATTTTGAACAGCCATTCAACCTAGCAGTGCTTCAGAGATGGAGGAAGATACAGGGTTTGATCACGTAAACCAGCATAATGGGGAATAATAAAACATTTCTGCAACAGGTAAAGTCCTTTCAGATGCAAACTGAAATGGATCTGACACTGTGAGCAGATCATTCCAAGAATCTTTTTCCTCCCCTTAAACTGAAGAAGCCATGTATCAGGGGGCTGAAAGGTAAGCAAAAGTGAGTTCCATACTGAGAACAACAGAGAGACAGCCAAACTCATCCCAAGGTATTAACTTCTGATAATGCTAAGTGAAATAATAAGAGAGAGTAAAAGAACAGTCTACTGTGTGACTACGACTGTAAATATAATTTATCATAGAGCCATAGGGATATGTTGAGTCTCATTTCAAAACTCTGGTTCACTGCTACTGAGGATGTAACGAGAATTATGTAAAGTCAATTTAAGTGAAATATTAGACTAGTTTTACAAGAGTACCTGGCTGCCTAGAGATGCAAAACAGCAGCTTTCTAAATCTGCTGTGTACCTACATCAGTCAGAGACCTAACTCGTGTTAGCTTTAAGTGGAGACAGTGGAGTAAACCACCTGATGCCTGTTTGGAGACTTTGTTTCTTAAGGTACCTTAGTACATCTGGTCCATTCATCTGGATGCAATGTCAATGAAACTGCCATTTCTGATGGCTGCTTAGACAGAAAATGAGGCCTGAATGACACTATTTCAAGAAAAGAAATTGCTTTTACAATCTTTAATGATACCATGTCCAACACGCATGGAATCCCTGACAGAATGGTTGTGGTTGGAAGGGATGTCTGGAGATGATCTTGTCCAGCCCCCCTGCTAAAGCACAGGATGGAGTCCAGGTGATTTTTTACTATCTCCAGAAAGGGAGACTCCACAGCCTATCTGGGCAGCCTGTTCCAGTGCTCTGCCACCCTCAAAGTAAAGGAGTTTTTCCTCATATTCAGATGGAACTTGTGTTTCAGTTTGTGTTCATTGCTCCTTATCCTTTTGCTGAGCACCACTGAAGAGTCTGGCTCCATTCTCTTAACAATTGCCCATAACATATCCATATGCATCGATAAAATTCCCTCTCAGTTGACTCTTCTACAGGCTAAACAGCCCCAGCTCTCTTAGCCTTTCCTCCTAAGAGAGATGCTCCAGTACCCTAATCACCTTTATTGCCCTCTGCTGGACCCTCTCTAGTAGCTACTTGTCTTTCCTAAACTGGGAGCCCAGAATCAGACTCCATACTCCAGATGTGGCCTCACCAGGGCAGAGTAGAGGGGGACATGATCACCCTGCTTGACCTGCTGGCCACAGTCTTCTTAATTGCACCTCAGGACACCACTGGCCTTCTTGGCCATGAGGGCACACTGCTGGCTCATGGTTAACGTGTTGTCCTCCAGGACTACCAGGTCCTTCTCTGCAGAGCTGTTCCAGCAGGTCAACCCCTAACCTGTACTGGTGCATGGTGTTATCCTGACCCAGGTGCAGGACCCAACACTTCATTAGGTTTCTCTCTGCCCAACTCTCTAGCTTGCCCAGCTCTCACTGAATGGCAGCACAGCTTCCTCGTGTATCAGACACTCCTCCCAGTTCTGTCTTATCAGCAGACTTGCTGAGGGTACACTCAGTTTCTTCATTCAGCCCTCATGAATAAGTTGAACAAGACTGGACCCAGTACTGATTCCTGGGGAACACTGCTAGCTACAGGCCTCCAACTAGACTCTGTGCTGCTGATCACAATCCTCTGAGCTCTGCCATTCATCCCGTTCTCAATTAATTTCACTGTCCTCTCATCTAACCCACACTTCCTCAGCTTACTTATGAGGCTGTGATAGGAGACAGCATCAAAATCCTTGGTGAAGTCAAGGGAGACAACATCCAATGCTCTCCCCTCACCTACCTAACCAGTCATTCCATCACAGAAGGCTATCAGATTGGCTCAACAGGATTTCCATTCCCCCTTGGTAAACCCATGTTGACTACTCCTGATAACCTTCTTTTCCTTCACATGCAAAGCTTGAATGCACTTTTGCTGTGCAAGAGCACTCTATTATTGTTTTAACATAAAACTATCAAAAGTCACTTCACTATGTAAATTCTTCAACATAAGATGAAGTGCTGTTGTAAGACTTCCTCTGTGAAACAAGAGTAGTTTCACATATGCAAACATTACCATTTAAAATTATTTATGAGATGATTACATAGATGAATTTTAACAATGCCCTTCAGCTCACTGGAGTACTTATTGATTAGTGATGAAACTGAGGGTAAACAAAATATTAGACTATTTTGCATGAAAATGACACTATTCCTGCTCAATTCAACTTATTTATTCATCAGCATTCAGCTAGTGAAAGATAAAGAGAAGTAAAATTCCACTTTATTTCTAATATTTTCCCAGTTTCACTGTCTTCCCTTACTTTATATTTATGGAATTATATAGTGTGATGTGTGGCAAAAGCCAGAGGAATTCTCTCTTTTCTCTCTTTCACCAGCCCCAATTATGGGATCTTTTGAAGTGCTAGATATTAGGTGCAGCCAACATACTGTACCCAGTGCACCTACAGTCTGCTTAGTTGCGAAAACATCTTGTATTTTCTTCAGGATTAATTCATTGCTTTCCAGACCCTATCTCACTGATGTTATCTGTAAGAGACTTGGGATATTCTAATACACTATTGACTCCCATTTTCAATAAAGGCTTAAGGCAATTTTGGTCTCACTTCTAAAATTCTTATGTGTATACACCATCACTTGGAAAACACGTAGTTTGATTTTCCAGCAGGAGTTGAGCTTTATGTGGAGAATACTTACTCATATATGTCTCATATAGTCATATATCACTATATGCTCATGTAGTCTTGTATGTGCTTATAGTAATAACAAGTAACTGAAGTAGAGGATTTGCATGTCTTGGGGTATTTATATCACCTAAATGTAAGTATTTACCTTAGGTGCTTAATCTAGGAAGTTAGTCTCCTCAGGCCAATTTTGGAACATACAAGTTAAGATGCTGCTCTGAATCACTTTCTGACTAAGCCTCTCTTTCATTCATGGTTATATGGGGAACATATAAGAGACTAGCTTCCAATTGAAGGCACCTAACCTATGTGCCAGAGATAAGGAAAGTGTACATTCCCTCCACCCAGTCATGCATTTCCTGGGTGAATATGCACATATATGTAAGTGAGGAAGAAAGTCTTGGCCTGCTCAGAGGGGTGACTGAGATCCTGTGTCTAGGATCCTCACTCTTCATTTACCTGTTGTGAGAAACAGGATTTTGCTGATTGCTCAGTATAACCAAATGAAGGCCCTTCAAAGACAGCTGTGGGCAGTTTGAGAACCTCCCGCAGAAACATGTCGTATCTGCCATAAACCATCACTCCACTGGAGTCAGAAATCATTGAGAAAATATCTGAAAAGGGAAAAGACAAGGGAAAGACACATCAACTTCAGTGAGAGCTACAGATCTGGTCTGAATTCAGTATCATCTCATTTGAATCACAAGTGCTAAACAACATGTTCTGCTTATGAAAACCTCCACTATTACTGCATCCTGAATTATAACCCCTCTCAATAGAAAACAAAAAGAATAATTTACAGATAAAGTAGCTGATTTTGACACTAAAATATTACTTTTTTGTTTTGTTTTGTTTTCATTGTGTGTGGTCATTTTTTTAAGCAAAGTCTGATGCATGGCATAAGGCAGTAATTTAATCAGATAAAAAGGATCTAATTTGACAAGATAGGCAATATCAGCTTTTTTCCTACTGCCAGCTTACCATGCCAAATCCAAACCTTGACAATGAGATAAATAAGTCAGTTATTGTTTTGGAGACACAAAGCACTGAAGGTCTTTCAAATGCACTACTTTTCATTCTTCTCTATTTTTTTCTTTTTTGTCATGTGTAAAAATACTGCAGAGATGCATGTTTCTCAGCCTTCACTTTTCCTCTTCTTTAAACTTATCCTAAGCTTATCAGGGGATCATAGACTAAGGAACATTTATCATTTTTCAGGCTGTCATGTCAGCTACTTCATTCATAAGGAACGTGGAAAGGAAATTCTGACAACAAGACCCTGGGACTGCTGACACGAAAAATCAGCATTGTACTCTAGCTTTTCACTGGATCGACTTCACTCCTATTCTTAAAGGAGCCTAGGGAACTGTGTTCAATTTATACTTTGTCATTTAAGTCCAGTCTGTATTTCAGTTTTGACACAGAAATAATATATTAAAATATGGCACCAAATCTGGAAGATTAAATTAATATCTGGGATTTTTACTTGTCTAATCAACAGTTTGTAAACCCAGTTTTCTTTGGCTGTGGTAGAGGGCTCAGAGGAAACTGAAGGCTGACATCAATCTTTTGTTCAAAAAGTCAAAATGGTTTTCTGGACTTCAGCTATAGATATCACAGCACTAAACAGAAAGACTTTCATTGCAGCTACAAGTAAACTGTGCCTTAACTATTGGGGAATTGGGAATAAATCCTACGAAATGAGAATCTGTTCTCAGAAATACATGGCATTAATATATACGCTATGGGAAAAAATATAAATAGCACATAAATATATTGTACTTCTAAGTGTGAAATGAAAGAGACGTTATCAAAAAAGTCTGAAGAAATTGCTAAATGATGCTTCATGATGTTGAACATTTGAGGCACTTACCTGTTGTCGTGGTTTAAACCCAGTCAGGTAATTCGTTCGCTCACTTCCCCCCCCCTTTCTTGCCCTCCCCCTGCTCTCGGAGGGACGGAGAGGAGAATCAAAAGAATGCAACTCCCACGGGTTGAGATAAGAACAGTTTAGTAACTAAGGTATAACACAAATCACTACTGCTACCACCAATGATAATAATGATAAAGGAAATAACAAGGGAAGAGAATACAACACCTCACCACCCGCTGACCGATAACTCGCCCCCCAAGCCCGACCAAGCTCCGACCGATACCTCCTCCAACCCTGCAGTCTCCCAGCCCTTCCGGCTAACTCCCAGTTACATCCTGGGCATGACGTGCTGTGGTATGGAATAGCTCTTTGGTCAGTTTGGGTCAGGTGTCCTGTCTCTGCTTCCTCCCGGCTTCCCCTCTTCCCTGGCAGAGCATGAGGCTCACAAAGTCCTTGGCCAAACCAAAACATCTCTATCAGCTCTGTTCCCGAGCTGAAAGTCAAAACACTGCACTGCACCAGCTAC